TAAGAGAGTGGTTAGTACCAATGGGCTTGGACACCATCCAGTACTGGTTAGGGTCCTGCTTCTACCACAGCTGGGTCCACCTGTTTCGGGTTTTTTATTTGTTTGTTTAAAGATTTTATTTCTTTATTTCAGAGAGAGAGCGCTCAAGAGAGAGCATGAGCAGGGGAGAGGGGCAGAGGGAGAGAGAGAAGCAGGGAACCCGATGCGGGACTCGATCCCAGGACTCTAGGATCATGACCTGAGCGAAAGGCAGATGCTTAACTGACTGAGCCACCCAGGCGCCCCAGTGTGTTTACCTGTTTTGATGTTGAACCTATTTCTTTTTTTTTAAATTTTTTTAAGGATTTTATTTATTCATTTGAGACACAGAGATAGAGAGAGAGAAGAGAAAGCATGAGCAGGGGGAGAGGCAGAGGGAGAGGGAGAAGCAGGCTTCCTGCTGAGCCAGGAGCCCGATGTGGGGCTCGATCCCAGGACCCTGGGATCATGACCTGAGCCGAAGGCAGACGCTTAACGACTGAGCCACCCAGGCGCCCCGATGTTGAACCTATTTCTGATGAACGAAATAAGTCATGGGGATATAACGTTAAGTGTTTCCCTCCCTTTATGGCTGGATAATATTCCAATGTCTGGATCTACCACATTTAGTTTATCCATTCATTGGTAGATGGACATTTAGTCATTTCCACTTTTTGGCTATCCCGATGAGTGCTGATGGGGGCTTTTTAAGGCATTTTTATCTGGAAGGGCCAACTTGTTGGGAAATGCCCTTCCCCTCACAAACCTTAAACATAAGTCTCCATTTGAAAATGGGGGCAAAAGGCCATTTGCACAGATGCCAGCCTCTCCTCCAGACAGAGACAGGACACCCATTCTGAGGCCAGCTCTAATGACCTTCCTCCTGCAGGTATCCTCAGAGATTGGCAATGTCGGGCCCTCGTGAGGCTGTAAGCTCTCCCTCAGTCTACTCCGGGCCCACGGCAAGCTCTTAGTCAACCTACTTATGTGATCGTGAAGCAAGGACCCGAATCCTTCTCTGTGACTTCTCAGCTTTTACTAGGCTTCTTGCATTTTCTTCTTCCTTGCCAGCATAAACCCTGAGCAGAAGACAGACAGGCTCTCAGTATTTCTTACCGTCTATTAATTAAAGGCAAGAATCCTTGTGATTTCACTCCTCGAGTTTCAGTCCCCTCTGGCTAAGTGGCTAAGTCCCCTCTCCCTCGTCCAGGGCCCCCTCCTTCCTGAGTCTCTTGGCCTCCTATGAGTCCCTTCATAGAAAAGCTGATCACTGAGTAGAGCATAAAGCAGATGTTCAAAAGTGCTGCTTAAGGGAAGAAGGAATGGCTTGTTTTTGGATCATTTCAGCAGTTAAGTGCTACTTCCTGTAAGTAGATTCTCAACGGCCAGGACCCCATGTCCTCATCTGCTTGACGGCCCGGCTCAGGTGTCACGCAAGTGACACAGCCTTGGTATTTCTTCATGTTTGCTAAATGATGAAAAGAACAATGCTTTAAAAACTGTTCCTGCCTAACTGGACCCCCATTTCCTGCGACCAGTGTCCCCTCTCCATTTTGTATCCTCTTCAGGGAACAGCACTCAGGAGGCTCTCAATGTTTGAGATGGGATAGAAGGAAGTACTTGAATTGTTTCAAGTCCATGGTCTTGCTTCTCCAGCTTAACTCTTATTTCTTTTAAAATTTCTTTTTGTTTTTAACTTAAGTATGGAGTAGATGCTTAAAGATCAAATATACACATATATAATGTAAATATATAATATAAACATATACGCATGCATAAAATATAAAGAATAAGAACAAAATGAGCAGCCATGGTCCCACCACCCAATTTAAGAAAAAAAAAACATTCCATTTCCTCTGAAGTTTCCTTGTGGGCCCTCCTCCTTCTCATTTCCTTCTGTCACCCCTCAGAGGTAACTACTTTGCTAAGCTTTGTGTTTATCTTATCTTTGTGTTATCTTATCATTAAAAAAAAATAATCCACAGGGGCGCCTGGGTGGCTCAGTTAGTTAAGTGTCTGACTCTTGATCTCAGCTCAGGTCTTGATCTCAGGGTCGTAAGTTTAAGTCCCACATTGGGCTCCTTGCTGGGCATGGAGCCTACATAAAAAAATAATCATCATCTGTAGGGACGTCTTTGTGTCCCTAACTCTATATTGTTTGGTTCTGCCTCTTTTGAAATTTTATAAGTAAATGAAAACACAGCTGTAATGTTGTGACTGAAATTGACTATTTTCACAGCTGTATAATATTCCATTGAATAAACGCATCATAATTTTTCCAGTATCCTGTAGATAAAAATCTTAGATTTATAGGAAAGTTGGAAAGATATACACCTCCATATACCCTTCACCCAGTTTCCTCTGATGTCAGCCTCTTACATTATCATAGTATATTTGTCAAAACCAGGAAATCAACATTGATACATTACTGCTGACTTCCAGTCTTTGTTGAGATTCCAGTAGTTTTTCCACTACTGTCCTTTTTCTGTTCTAGGATCATCCAATCCAGGCTTATGGGGGGCTGTGAAAGCATTGCTGCTTATGATTATTCCTGTACACATCTCCCAACGTATATGAGTCAAGTTTCTCTACAATGAACCCCTGGGTTTGCTGGGGCTTGGGATACATTACATCTTTAATTGTATTCAATAAGTCGAATTTGTTCTCCAATGTGACTGTCCCAATTCTACCCATTATGAGTACTGTATGAGTTCCAAGTTCCCCGTGGTCTACCTTATGGAAAAATCTAAAAAATTTGCCATGCTGGTGGACATGATATGATACCTCCTGTTTTAACTTGCAGTTCTTGTTATTATGGTTTGGCCTCTTTTCATAGGTTTCCTCTGGGATGAAGTGTCTCTTCATATCTTTTTTTCCCTTTAATTTGGCTGTTGCTTTAATTTGCAGTCTTTTAAAATAATTTCTGAATGCTAATTCTTTGTGTTGTATGTTGCAAGTGTCTTCTTTGTCCATAAAGTGTTCAGTGTTTGTCAGAGGACGGGAAGATATCAATTTATTTCAGGAGTTTTAAGTCCTGTTCTTTAAACTCTCATGCACTCCGCGACCAGGGTTCCTATTTCCATTAAGGGGATAGATCACACTGCTGAAACTCTATTTTTAAATGTTTGCTAAATAAATGAAACAGCTCTCCTAAATTAAAAGCAGGTGTTTAATTCCCATCTTTGCATAACTTATAGAGGCCTATATGATCTGTCCCTAATTTACTCTCTACTCACATAGATCTAGTCACACTGGTCTCTGCTGTTCTTTAAATGGATCCACATCCTCCTGTCTCAGGGCCTTTGCACTTGCTCTTCCGCCAGATATTTTTATAGATTCCTTTCCTCATTTCCTTCAGGTCTTTGCTCAGTGTAACTTCACCAGAAAGACCTTCACTGACCTATGTATCAAATAGTATCCTCTGACGAGCTCCATCCTCTTTCCTTATTTTTTTCTTTCCACATTGCATTCTAAATGTATTTGCCTGTCCCCCACTAGAGGTATGCTGTTCAGTACCAGAGCCAGTAGCTACCTACCTGTGTCTACCCTTGAAATGCGACGGGCCTGGACTGAGATGTCCAGACTTCCAAAAAAAAAAAAAGTAACATTAAAAATTCTGTTTTGGTTACAAATTGAAATAACATTTTGGTTCTAAAGTTAATTTCACGTTTTTGTATTGTTTCATTCGGCAGCGCTACTCCAGAACATAAGCTAGAGCAGGGATGTTTGTCCACCTCAGACGCCGCTCTATCTCAGAAAGCAGCTCAATAGATATTTGCTGAACAAAGGAATCCAAAAGTAGAATGCCGGTCTTTTTCTTCTCCTCTCTGTTCTGTCTACCCCAGGGATCCATTTTAGAAATCAACTAAACTTTACTGAGGTATAACTTACATAAAAGTCACCCGTTTTAAGTGTACAATCCAAGGATTTCTAGTAAACCCACCATGTTGCACAACCATTGCCGTGACTCACTTTTATTTTTTTTAAAGATGTTATTTATTTATTGGACAGAGAGAGAGGGAACAGAAGCAGCGGGAGAAGGAGAAGGAGAAGCAGGCTTCCCGCTGAGCAGGAGCCCGATGTGGGGCTCGATCCCAGGACCCTGAGATCATGACCTGAGCCGGAGGCAGACGCTTAACGACTGAGCCACCCAGGCACCCCCGTAACTCACTTTTAGAATCTTCCCATCACCCCAATGAGATCCCCTTGTGCTCAGGTACGATCCCCATTCCCACCCTCAGGCAACTGCAAAGCTACTTTGTGTCCATAGAGGTTCAGCGTTCACTTTCTAGGGAATGAATTGCCCGTCTGAGCTGCTCCAGGGTTCAAACTCCTTGACCAGTCAGCACCCTCCGTCCACTACTCACCCCGTTTCCACCCCTCCCCCAACACAGCTCAGCACGGAGCCGGACCCACAGACCGCTCGGCGCCTGCACATCAAAGCAGGGCAGCCCCGCATCCTCCCAACCCGCTACAGGGCAGGTCTCCGTGGCTCCCGCTTGCGCCGCGGCTGCCTCGGGAACACGCGGGGCTGCCTCGCTGGACCCCACGACCCGGCCAGGGCGGGGGCTCCCGCCCTCGCAGCCCCCATTGCGGGCCACCGCAGCTCTGAGCAGCCGCAGGGAGCCCGAGTGCCCGGCCGCTGCGTTCTAAAGCCGCCCTCCAGGAACAATGGCTGGTGCCGCGGGACTCTCGGCCTCCGTGTGTGTGCGGGTGTTGGGGGGCCGGCCCCTCCCCCGCAGCCCCTTCCCGGGTTCCGCCTTGACACTCTCCCGCCCTCAACGGCCCTCCTCGCAAAATGGCGACCAACCGCCTCCTTTCCCGCCCGCCGCAGGTCACCTGATCGCATCAAGGCCCCGCCCCTCGCGTGGCCCCGCCCCTCGGCGGAGGCCCAATAGCTGCGGAGACTTCGCCGCCGGGCCGCACGCGCCGGGAGCCCGGGCGGCGCGAGGGGCGCGCGAGGCCGCCCTGGGCGTCGTGAGGCGACCCTCAGCCACGCACGCGCGCCCGCGCCGCGGGTGAGCTGGCCGCTCCGGGGGCGGGCCGGGCTGCGCGTGCGCGCCCGGCCGGCGGGCGGCGCGAGGGAGGCAGGGGGCCGCTGGGAGGCCCGCCAGGCGCGAGGCTCAAGGCCGGCGCGCGAGCCCCCGGGGCGGGTAAAACCCGGTTGCTGCTGCCCCTGCCTTCTCCCTTTCCTCCCTACCCCCCCCCTCCCCCCCCCCCCTCACCTTTCAACCCCTCCCCCCCTTAAAATCTAATTCGTTTATATATTTGTTTTTTAGGGGGCCCATCTCCTTTTCGAGGAGCGCAGCAGGCGCGTCGGGCGCCCCTCTCCCCGCGTCACGCACGCACCTTCTGCACTCCCAACAGCTCCGGACCCTGCTGCACCCCCGCAGCCCTTTCCCGCTTGGAGAAGACTCTCCTCAGGGGCCCCTGGTCCGCTGCATCCCCTTTCTTTCCTCCCCCCGCCCCGCAGGCCCCAACTGCCCCCTCACAGCTACCCAGCTCGCGCCTCGGGGGCCCTACCGACCTCCGCACTTTCTGCACCACGGCCTTGCATTCGCCCTAGCTTCCAGGCCTTCTGCTAAAAATCCCCTTTCTTCTGAATAGGGGACCCAGATTTGTTTCTTTTTAGGATCTTCCAGCAAAAACAAAAATCTCTCCTCTCTTCTTTGATTATACCCCTCGCCCTCCTTTTAGGAACTTCCTCTAGCAAAAAAAAAAAAAAATGTATATGTAGAAATATATATATTTTTTCTTTTCCAGATTCTTTCTCCATTCAGGATCACCTTCCAGCAAAAATTGTTTCTTCCCACCAAGAGTCCCCATTTTTGTAGTATCTTTCCACTGATAACAGACCAACTCAGTTCTTCCAGTTTCTCATGTAATATTTGTTTTTCCAACCCTCTTCCCCACCTCTTCAGCAAAAATTCCTTTCATCACCAGTCCTACCCCAATTAGGCTTTCCCCAGCAAAACCCTCCAGGTCCCTTCCCAAGGCAGGAAGAAAAAAATAACTTTCCCATAACAACAAAACCCCTTTTCCCATCTAGATCTCTCCAATTTAGTATTGCTTTCTTCCTTCTTCCAAAAATTGCCCGTTTCCCTGTTTCACACCTGTGTCCTTGCTTCTTTGGGGACCCAAGTTCTGAATGACTCTTCCTTTCCACCACCTGCTTTCAGGGCAAAAGAAGTTGGATGAGTGTCCTGAATTTACTACCCAGAGTTCCAGGAGGAAATAGCCAGTGGTCTGACGATCACCTGAATCCCCTCCCTGTGGGGCCTAACCTGGACCCTCCTGTTCCCTGGAGAGTCACTCATTTGCTCTTCTCCTGGTGAGTTTTCTCCCTTTGCCCCTGTCCAAAGATACCTTTTTTTTTTTGTCAGATGGATTCCTTTCTTTCTCAGAAGGGTTTCTAATTGATCCAAGAGTCTCTGTATGAATGGTGAAACCATTACAAGTTGCTGCTTTGGGGAAGTCAGATAAGGAAAAAGTTATAGTGCATGTTGACTTCTCTGGAGGAATGCAGACATTTATTAAATTGATGTATGTTTCATTGTTGGTTGCAAAACTGCTTCCCCGACGCCCCTCTGGGTTAGGGTAGCAACTTAGATACCTCCAGGTACAGGCAATTAAAGGCCTGCACTGTGGTGAACCAAAGATCGTGTGCCCCGTCTAAGTGATACCTACCAGTCTGTGGAAATGGCCGAGTGGAAATGCCAGGACAGTGTTGCCAGAACTTAATTTTTTTTTTTTTTTTGAGAAGAGACCAGAACACTGTCTTTATGTGAAACCTTTTGACCTTTAAATGGTGACAATGAATTTAAAAGGCATTTAAAGACTGTGAAGCCCTTACAAAAACATGTCGGCTGGCCAAAACTTTGGAATATTTGGTTTAGCGTTTCTTTCTGTGTTAGATGTGTGTACATGCAGGACTTTTCCTCTTTAGAGCCGCAGTTCTCAAACTTTTGATCTTAAGACCCCCTTATACTTAAAAATCATTGAAGACCCCAGAGAGTTTGTGCATGCGAACTATATATGCTGATATTTGGTGTATTGGAAGTGTAATAAGTTTTAAAACTATTTATTCATATAAAAATAAGAGTAACAAACTCATTAACAAAATTGACTAATTTTTAAATTTTTTTAAAAGACTATATTTCAGGGCGCCTGGGTGGCTCAGATGGTTAAGCGTCTGCCTTCGGCTCGGGTCGTGGTCCCGGGGTCCTGGGATCGAGTCCCGCATCGGGTTCCCTGCTAGGCAGGGAGCCTGCTTCTCCCTCTGCCTCTGCCTCTCTCTCTCTCTCTCTCTCTCTGACTCTCATGAATAAAAAAAAAAGACTATATTTCAGAACACATAGAATTTAGTGAGAATAGTGGCCTTGTCTTATGCTTTTAGAGTCATCTGGACATTCATATCTGCTTTCGCATTCAGCCTTTTGAGGTATCCCCTGTAGCTTCTGGAAAGTTTCACTGAGAGTAAAAAAGGCAGATAATGTCTGAATATTATTATGAAAATAGTTTTGATCTTGAAGACTCCCTGAAAGACTCTTGAGGACCCCAGGGTTCCCCACCCCCATCCACCTCCCTTTGAAAACTGCTGTTCTGGATTTTAATGCTTATTTGCATTTTATGCTAGGATCAGCTTTTGGAATGAGAAGGTTTAAGGTCTCTTTTCCTCCCTTAGTTAATTCTGTGTAAAAAATTTTCCTGGAAAGCATAGTCCTAGCCTTCTGATTCCTCCATATCTTCTTTCTCTTTCCTGATGTAAGGTGTGAATCTGCTCTTTTAGTGAACGATCAGAGGAGATGAGTTAACCTTCTGGTTAAAACTATATTGGTTCCATGGCCGGGGGAGGGAGTGTCCTTTGGTCGTTCAGCTTAAGAAAGTAGGTGCAGAGTGTGGGGCAGGAGTCCCAGGCTCAGGTGCGGAATCCTAGCATAGAGAGTGGTTACATGTGAGGGCTTTGACGTCAGACTACCCGGGGTTGAATCCTAACCTTGATTTTGGGCAAGTTACTTACCTTCTCTGGACTTTATTTACCTCATCTGTAAAATAGGGTTAAGAACAGAGGATGTGCCTCAAAGGGATGTTGTGGGAATCCAATGATCCATAAGTGATTCTAGGAGTGCCTGGCACATGACAAAGCCTTGAGAAGTATTTGCTTCTATTGTTGGTATTTATAATGATGATTATAGGGGCCAGGGACGAAGAAAGTGAGGACTGTGGGAACATCTCTTCGGAGATGGCCTTTGTCCCTCACCTCTCTCCTACTGATAACTATCAGGAAATGCAAAATGTAACAATTTTCAAGAGAAGCCAGAAATTAATACATTTAGTTGAAATCTCCCCATTTAAAAAAATGTTGGTGACGAACGCAATTGCAAAAAGACACCGCATAGGCCAAACAAAACAGACCTGTAGTTGCAATAATGTTTGGAGTGGGAAAACAATGAAAGAATTTGCATAGTTGGGGTGGAAGCTGCAAGTTTCTTATTTCTCAGCTTCCAGCAGTCTGATCTTACTCGGACGTGATCACTCTCTCCCTGGTAACCTGACGCAGACAGGGAAAGGAGAAGATGGTGCTTGGAGAAAAAGAAAGAAAGGAAAGGAAAAGAAAAAGGAAAAAGGAAAGGAAGAAAGAAAGAAAAGAAAAAAAGAAAAGAAAGAAAGAAAGAGCAGACAGGAGAGTAGGTTGGGGCTTTTCAAAGAGGAAAGGAGGTGGCACATGGGATTTTGTCACACATCTGCAAAAGGAATGCAGAAAGCTTTCTTTGATCAGAGTTAGTTCTGTGCCAGGCAAGATGCTGTGAGGAGTATGGACACGTAGGCAGAGGCACAGCCATCCTAGAGCTTGTAGTCTGGGGAAAACTAGAAGAACTTGAGAGATCATGAGACTCCGAGACCATTTGGGGTAAGTGTTACGTGGCCTGCCTAACAGGTGCTTATGGAGTTCCGAAGGAGGGAGAGATAGTCTCAGACTTGGTATGTTGGGAGGGGCCCCTTAGGCCTGCAGTTGAAGGGTTTCATTCGGTAAATCTAAGTAGAGAGAGGTTGGTCAAGGGAAACTGCACAAATCAGGGTCCTAAGGGAAGAGGTCTCCCGGGGGGCCTGGCAGGGCATATAAATGAGTGAGGCGGGAGGGGGTGAGAGATTAGGCGTTGGTGGGGGCTCTGGCAAACCGGAGAGTGCCTGCTCTGTCCAAAGCACCTGCACTTCTCAGCTCCAGCCCATGACTTCCTTGTGATCGCAAGGCTTCTCTTGAAAATTGTTATTGCAGTTGACAGAGTCTCAGATTTTTTTTTTAATATTAAGACTTACTTATTTATAGTAGACTCTAGGTCCAACATAGGGCTTAAAACTGGCGGCCAGGAGATCAAGAGTCACATGCTCCACAAACTGAGCCAGGCAGGCACCCCTTTTCCAAGATTTTGAAATAGAAGTTGGAAAGCCTTACTTCAATGAGAAATCTCTAGGTCTGCCGTGAGTGTCCAGTGTGGGAGCTGCCAGGCACTTGTAGCTAGGTACATTTACATTCAATGAAACTTCAATAAAATACATAATTTAGCTCCTCAGTTGTATCTCCTGCATTTCTAGGCACTCATCAGCTGCTTATGGCTGGCGGCCGTCCTCGGACCGTGCAGACTTAGACCATTTCCATCAGCACACAAAGTTCTTTTGGAGAGCAATGCTCTGTCCAAAAGAAGTCTGGTAGATTTTTCGACTGGATAACCAATAGAAAAATATTCAGATTAACTGTGGTGAAATAAAACCTCTTTATGGAGGCGGTAAGTGTTTAGATTTTTGCCTCCTTTCCATCCAAACAATGGCTCGGTAAATGTTATTTACCGGATGGTGTACCTGTTGCTGCAGGCTAGAACGTATGGCAGACCAATCTCCCAAGAGGCTGTGGCATTTCACAGGAGAATCCCTGCCTCCCTCCTGCTCCCACCAGTCATAGAATGGCAGGCCTTTTTTTAAAAGAAAAACATTAAAATTGCTTCGGATCCCTAGCGTTGGCTGAAATTGTTTTTTGAACTATTAAACAAGACATAAATGATGATAAAACAAAGCATATGTTCCTAAAGTTTACAGTTCTTGTGGCCCCATAAAGCCAAAATCAATTTGCAAACTAAATGTAACAAAGCAACCAAACCAGCGTAATTCAAATTATAAACATCAGTTTAGTGGGAAGGGTGCTATTTTGCTGAGTTTAGTGGGAGGGGTGCTATTTTGCTGAGACCGAACAGCTTTCTTGAAACAAACATCTTGCCCAAGGCAGACCCTGTGATGTTTCCAGTCTCCTGTCCTTTCCCTCAGTTCCAACTGCAGCAAGACCTCCATTTGTACCACGATGCCTGTTGGCTTTTAGGTGACCCCAAAGGCATTATCATGAACTAAATCCACCTCTGTCCTCTTCTCATTAGCCTGTGGCAATTAAAATCATCCTTTTTGGCATTTGTGCAATTAAAACACACCCCGGGCGTTGAAACCAAATGGTAGTACTGGGTTATAAGGTAGTAAATCAATAATCTGCATAGACTGATTTTCTTCTCTTAGGTGGTTCTCCAAGTGAAAGCACAAAATTATAAAATTCTTGGAAAGAATTGGGAATGTCTGCAAGGTTCCAGGGGACCACAAACCCCGCCCCACAGGGATTAGTGGGGAGCCCTGTACATAGAAGGTGCTAAAACTTGTTGAATTGAATTTATCTGTTGACAGAACAAGAACAAGTTCGATATTGGCTGAAGGGGGGGGGTTGCTTTAGTAACTGGAAAAGGATGTAAATATCAAAACATGGTCTTTGGACTTTGGGCGTGCCTGCCCCAAGTGGTAATGAGACCAGTTTGTTCTGTGGACTATGGGAGTATGCTGGAAAGCAGGTGATTTGGCCTGTGGGGAATTCTGCCCCTATCCAGAACCTTTTGTGCTTTCTAGATTAATTGGTGTAGCTCAGTGTAAATTTATTTATGGTGAATTAGTATTGCGTAGTGGGTAAGAACACAAGCTGTAAGGTCAGAATATCTAGGTTTAAGGCCTGGCTCAACTCCTTGTTAGACGAGTGACTTTGGACAAATTACTTAGCGTCTCCGTCAGTCAGTCCCTTTCCTTCTTTGTAAAACAGAAGTGATACAGCACCGACCTCTGGGTTGTAGAGAGAAGGGAGTGAATGCATGCATGGGAAGCTCTTAGTGCGATGCCTGAGAAGGAGAAAATGCTTCATATTTTATTTTATTAAATATTGCTACATGTTTATTTAATGCTTTCTATTTTATTAGCTTGTTTTTATTATTGGAATATGAAGAAAGAGCTGGCTTCTTTCCTCTTTGGAGT